CTGAATGCGCTGGCACGGGCTGGCCTGGACAGCGCAACGCTCGGGACGGCCGAGGCAGAGTTTAGTAAAAGAAACACCATGGGTGAAAAGAAACCGCGGCACCGCGGAAAGCTCAGGAAACCACGTGTGCGAGCGCAAGAGCCCTGCAAAAAGGAAAAGGCTTTTGCCTTCACGACCTTCATCGTGTGGCGGTGCTAGAGAGCGGGGCCTGAGGCGGACGATGGAGCTCATCTTCATGCATGTGAGGTACGGACTACACCACGAGCCGCGGATCGAGATCCGAATGCCAGCGGCGGACAAGAGGGGCGGAAATACGCGAAAATAAGCACGGCGAGGAGCGCAGAGCGCAGCGTCGAGGACGCGGCATAAGTAGCGAAAAGAAGCAGCACCAGCAGCATGAGCTGAAGGGAACCGCACCAGCGGCCCAGTCAGTGAGTGAGTGATACTTCCAGAAACTCGAGCGAGACCGACCTACCGCATCCCGCACGACGCCTCTGCCTTCCCTTCCTCTCCCGGCTTCTCTTTCCCTTCCTTCCTTCCTTCCTTTTCTTATTGTCGCTTCCTCCTCCTCCTCCTCCACTCCAGCCAGCGCCGCTCGACCGAGTCCCACCCCTCGCGCTTCAACCCCCCCCCCCCTTTTCCCCAACCCCCCAGTGCCTCGCCACGAGGTACCCGAGACTCGGGCCCCGCCGGGTACCCCCGAATGCGTTCGTCCGTCAACCGCACAGCGTAGGGCGGTCGATGAAAGCACCCCGCCCCACCCCACCCCGCCGCGCCCCGCCTCGCCACCGCCAACCCTTTCTATTCTCTTGGTTTTTCACGGCGTTGCCCCTCTTCCTGCCTCCCTCTCACTCGCTCTCTCTCGTCTCTTCGTTCTTGAAATACTCTTCACTCTGCGCGAGTCCCTGGCTCTCCCGCGAAAGCAAACGAAGTGTGCTGTACCCGCACACAATGGCGCTCCAGTGTCCCCCCGTACTCGAGCGGGAGCGGGAGCGGGGAGGGGAGTTTATGCATCCCCGACATTCGCAGTGGGGCACTCGTGGTGTGAAATTGTTTGAAGCAGAGGGAGCCTAGAAGCACAGAGGGGGTTTTGACGTACGACTGTCTTACAACACAACAGTCGAAATCAGTCGGAGAAAAAATACCGATGTGTACGAAACGACAAAAATTATTCAAAGCCAGTATTTATCCTCGAAACGGAAAACTGCACAGGCCAACCTGTCGTGATGGCGAGAAACCTTTGATGTGGAGGCAGTATTAATAAAAAGACCAGACCGCGGAGGTCGCAGTTTAATTCCCATTGAGCGACTTGGTCAAAAAGGGCAGAAGCATAGAGCTGTTTTATTTTTTTACCACATCCGGCAGTCGCAGCAGCTTGCTGTCGACGTCACCCGCGAGGCCCGCTGCTGCTGCAGCCGGGCGACCACCACCACCGCCGCCGCGAACACTCACCTGCGAACAAGACAAACAAAAATGGTACCGGTCAGTTCCGCGAATAGGGGACAGACTTGGGCAGCGCGGGTTATAATGATCCGGAACTGCACCACGAGCCGGGCCCCGAGCCACGCACCGCACCGGCCGACCGCAGCGACAAGCTCGGCGGAGCAGTGCAGGAATTTTATGGCCCGACATTTATCCGGAAAAATTGAAAACGTTACCAGAAAAAAAATTGTGGAAAGAATCAAAATACTGCCAGAAAAATGTGGAAAAATCAAACTTTCAAAGAAAACAAAATTCAGACACCTACAAAAGAAATCTTTAAAACTTTCCCCAAAACGCTTTAAATCTCTATGCGATGTTTCCCCGCCAGTACTTGCAGCTTCAGAGCTCCGTCCATGCGAGGTCGTCTCCAGGCGGCGAGGCGGGCGACGGCATAGCGAGTGGGTTAAGCCCCCCCTCCCCCCAAATTTTGATCGCCCTGATTACATGATTTAGTC